GTTGAAAAGCCAACGATTCAGAAACGTAATCGGCTGGTTCCAAAAATCCTGACTGGTCGCACGCGCGCCTACAAACTGACTGCCACAACTCTTCTCTCGCCTGCACGGGCCACTGGCTGTATAAATTTTCAGCGGTGTCGGGTTCCGCGAGGCCCTCGGCCGCCGGCTCCCCGATGTCTGGTGGCACCGGCGGGGCGGGAGGGAAGGAGGAGGGAGGAGGGACGAGGGAGGAGGGAGGAAGGAGAGAGGAATCAGAGACAGACAAATTCGCAGAAAAGGTCACCACAGGATTTGGCCAATTCCTGTGGTCGGATGGCTGCGCAATTTGGAGTGCCGCGGGGCTCTCGGCCGCGGGCTCCCTGGCGCCTGGCGGCTCCGGCGGGGCGTGCGACGCTGCCGACTCGTTCACCACGGCTGGATTCTCATCTGGAGAACCCACTTGCTCCCGCACAGCGGCAAAAGCGCGCGCGGCATCTGCTTGCTGGGCCTTGTGCCTAGACCTTTTGCTGTTGGGATCTGGTGCCTTGGCTCTGGGCTTGGGCAATAAAAAGGGTTGTGGCAAATCTAAAGTGCGCTGCACCGCGAGTCGAGGATCAGCCGAAAGGAAGAACCGCACCCCGTAGTGAGCCCCGCCCCCAGTATCATCAGCCTCGACTCGGGTGAGCAATCTTCCTGCTGACTCTGATCCGATGGCAAAGTCAATCATGCGACCTGATCCGAGAGTACACGTGTAGCTGACATTCGAAGGCATGAAAATTGCGGCGTCCAAGGTCGTGAGCCACCCTTTGGCGCGCAGCTCGCCTGGCGTCACATTGAAGTCACCTACGGCTAACCAGGGCCCCGCATGCTGCTTGACAAGGGCCGCGATCCTGGAGAGCTTCCGCTGGTTGATATCGACGAGACCGATGCTGCACGTGAGGTACACGCCAATCACGAGAAGAGACTGCTTCTGGAATCTCCACTGGCAAGCCACTATGTCCGTAAAGTCGATGGGCCCTGGTGTCCAGCTGGAGCCGACGTCCCAGCTGCCCACCGCCTGGTCTTCGAACATCGCCAAGTGCCTATAGGAGCTCATGGCGTAGTGCTGCCGCAGGCCCATGACGATGCCGCCGGATGACTGTGTAGCCGGCGTGGGGTACGAGGGCGACAATATGGCACGCCTCTTCTGCGTGTCGAAAAATGCCAACAACTCTTGAGACTTGTCGGGAAGTTCATGCGTCTCTGGGAGGATTGCCAAATCGTCCCTGCACTGGCGGACAAGGGACTTTGCTGAAGGTCCCCATTCCGAGCTATTCTTCAGAAAGATGGTGATCTCTGCTCTGTCAAAGACTCGCTGTGCCCAGCGGGATGGCCCTGGCCTCCGACAATAACTTGTCCATCTCTGCTTGGATCTGGTCTTCTTTGGCGTGTACGCCTTCGGCGGGGGATCTTGCTGGGGCCGCCGACGGGGGTGCCGCTGCCGCTGTGGGGCCCGCGCCTGCCGCGCTCGCTTGCGCGCGCGCCGCCGTTAGGCTGGGAAGCCGCCGCCGGGGAAGGAACTCCTCCAGCAGCGGCTTCGGCAGGGGGATCTTCACCACGCGCTGCGGCGCCCTCCTCATCGGCGGCCTCCTCGACCCGCCGCCGTTTCTTCTCACGCTGCTGTTCCATGTACTGGCGGAGGTCGTCCTGTTCGGCTTGGAGCTGTTGGAGCTTCTCTGCCTGCTGGGCTGACTCCAGTCGGTCCTGTGCTGCTCCGAAAGGCTGTCTGGCGAAGTCCGTGAAGAGCTGTTTGATACGAGTCTGTCGTGCTTCCAACTCCTGCTGTCCTTCGGCGTCGAGCTCTGCCTCAGCGAAGGTGGAGCCCATGTCGAATTCGAAATCTGATCCTTGCAGAAGAGCGCCGATGGGGATGACGGGCTTCGGCGCCACTGCTGGTGGCGCTTCATCTTTGTTGGACTGTGCAGCCACTTTCCTCGCGAAAGCCGCCAATTCTCTCTCAGCCTTGACCACAGCTGTCGTCTTCTTCGCCACGTCTGCCGCTGCCGCGTCCAGCCGAACCTGGGCTTCCTGACGCGCTTTGATGCTGCGGCGGAGGCGGCCTTGCGCCTCCTCCACCTTGACCTCCATCTGCCTCCATGCCTTGGCATTGGCCAAAGGCTTCTCCTCTGGCTTGGGCGGAGGCGGCGGTGACCAGGTAGCCAACAATGTCGAATATGCTTGCTGGTTCTGGCTGTGCCCGTCCCTCGAAGAGAACTCTTGGAGGAGGGCGATCAGCTGCTCTTCCTTGGTGCGGTCGTTGCCTGGGTCTGCCCAGACGCCTGTTGGGGGACGTGTGCCACCACCGTCGCCCAGCTTCTGCCAGTTCCCCTTGTCGGTGAGACGATAGAACTGCGTGCCGAGCGGCTTGTCCTGCCACTCCTGGCCGCCACATTTGCATGTGTACCACTGAGCCCGCAACCGGTCCTTGTACAGCATTCGTCCACACGAACTGCACCAGACTGGTTCGCGCTTGTAACGTCTGCCATGCCAAGGATGCGAAGAAGCATCGCGATTAGCACGAGCGTCCGCCATGGCACTGCAAGACGTACAGTGGTCGGAGGAGGAGGAGGAGGAGTTGGAGGAGGAGGAGGAGGAGGAGGAGGAGGAGGAGGAGGAGGAGGAGGGGGGGGGGGATGGGCAAGCTCCGTCGGAAGGTTAGTCGCCAAACCCCTCCATTAATATCCCACCCAGAGTAATGGCTGCAAGACCGTCCTGTGGCCACCCATCCTGTCCGTCGACCGCGACGGTGGCTAGCTCGCCGCCTCCGCAGCTCTGCCTGCCCGCTGCCTTGCAGGTCCAATCTGCTTTCCTCGGCGCCGCCTCGTGCGTTTCGTATTTTTTCGGCGCCGCCACCGCCGCCGCTCGGGTCGTGGGAGGGATTCCATCCATTCCCTGCCCTCGGCGACGCCGCTGACCGCCCAAGCGCACTCACGCTTTCCTGCCCAGGCCGCTGTGGCCGTGAGCCAGCCTCCCGTCGAGGGAGCCATCCCCCGCAGGGCGTGGAGGTGGTGGCATGGCTCACGCCCACCCCCCTGCTCTCTCCGCTCCTCGCTGGGCGTGCCTTCGGGTGCGGCTGGCCTGGAGGTGGAGAGATCCGGGGGCGACCGGTGCCCTGCGGCACGGTCGCTGGCGCCTGGGCCTTGCCGCCCCGTGCCGTCGGTCTGGCGGCTACGTGGCCGCTGTCGCCGCCCCGTCGCCGCCTGGTCGCCGCCCGTCTTCTGGGCCGTGTCTTCGGTTTGGATCGCCTCCCCGTGGCTGCCACGTCGCCGCCCGTCGTCTGGGCCTGTCTATTGGTCTGGCGGCTATGTTGCCGCCGTCGCCGCCCCGTCGCCGCCTCGTCGCCACCCGTCGTCTGGGCCTTGTTGTGCATTGCGATTTGTCTGGGCAGATTGCACCGCATGTTTTGCACAACAGCATTGCGCAGCACATGTTCACAAAACAGATTGCACCGCGTAGACTGCGCCACATCTATTGCACAACATAGGTTGCAGTCCAGAGATCTCACCACCTAGATCGCACCACATAGAGTTTCTTTTCATACCACGGTTCTGCCCTACCGTCCATCCTAAATATGAATCCCTATCATCCCAGCCCAACTGGTAAGGGCTCAAATCATCCTCGGTAGCAAAGTATGCGCGCACACTCGTTTGTCAAAAAAACGTCTGAAAAACCCTTGCAAAACAATGGGGCGAAGTGTACACGCGCGCGTCGTCGCGCGCGCATGCCCAACTCCTTCAAACATCCTCGGTGTCGTACGGGTTTCCAAATCGAATGTTTCGAACACAAAACACATGGCTTCGCAACAATGAGTCCGTCGCGAGCGCATGCCCAACTCGTTCAAAAACTTTCGGTGTCGTACGGACTTCAAAATCGAGTGTCCCACATAAAGACACATGGTTTTGCAGCAGCTGTTCCCCCCAGAATTCTCAAGACAACCGCTGGTTGTGTTCCACCATTTTCATTACATTCTGCCAAGCGGGCCTTTTCGCGACGCATATCGACATCATTCGAACGCCCTTGCGCGCGTGCTGGGGGGCACGGTCCGTGTCAAATAATACCATGTGGGCCTCTCTCGCGCGTCGGCCGCGCACGCATGTCAAATTCGTTCCAAACTTCCTTCGCCGACGCGAAGACGCCGTCATCGTCGTCGGCATGATTAACATCAGTGCCGTGCCGTCGCCGTGGTCATTATCGTCACCAGCGTCGCTACGATCATCGTGTCTACCGTTGTCGACGTTGCCATGGTACCGCGCCCGTCCAAGTGGCCGACTCGCACTGAAGTGCCCGCTGGGAAGTGCCCAGACCGCGGCCGCGTCGGTCGCGCCAAACTAGCTGACTGCTGCGCGCGCGAGCATGCGCGGGCTAGCGGGACCGCATAGATGCATCAGCCAACACCAAGCACTCATCGCAATCGCCGCCACCTGCGTTTTGCAAAACAATTTGCGGGTGGGTGGGTGGGATGATTGCGCGAGCAGTGCAACTGACAACTGCGATTTCCATTTGTGAGTTGCACAACGTAGATTGCACCACGTATACTGCACCGCATGGATATCACCATATGGATTGCGCAACACAAGTTGCACAACGTTGAATGCACCACATAAATGTTCATCGCATATCGCAAAAAGTGCAGCACGTAGATTGCACAACGTAGGTTGCGCAATATAGATTGCATACGTAAAATGCACGACACATATAGCACATCATGCATTGCTCCACGTAGATTGCTCCACATATAATGTTAGAAACACACTGTCTGGGGCTCATGCTGGCTAACATGCGATATTATCGTTATGTGTTTGCTTGGCGCCTTTTCGTCAAACATATCCACGAACAAGTAGACCCGCGTTGTCGTGAGGTTAGGAAGCCGGTCACCCCCAAAGGGGCAGCGTATTGTTTGCTCCAGGTTCCCTTGCCATCCCTCCGTCGCCCTTCCTGATTTCCCTGTGATTTTTCTTTCGGGCGGCTTGCCGGGCACTCAGGTCCCAGACAGTACGTCAGACGGCGCGGAATCGGGGAACGCCCTTCAGCTGAACAAGGCCGACTGGCCGTGGAGCAAGCTGCCGAAGAACGCGGAGGCTGACGCAACCTTCGCTGTTGGTGATGTGTGTGTGAGAGTCTAAGTGCGCAAGCGTTGCTCACCGTCTCATGGCCAGGGGTGGGCACCCGTCGCGACGGCTGGATTTGGTTCGAGGAGCTCGTCCGCAGGTCACCTGGGCAGGCACCCAGGTAGATGATTTACACCAGGTACTAGTGAGCAGAAGAACATCGCAGGCGGAAGCTTCGGTTGTCCCTTTTGGCGAAAGTCGGAAAAGAAGCTAGAGAATCCGGAAGCCCCCGTCTTTGAAAGGCCCGACTGGTACGAACACAGTGCCGCTATAATCTTCTCTCGGTTGCCGGTCTTGTCGGCAGCAGACGACCATCGAGCAATTCATCCACACCGCCGTGTGAGGGCGACGGTCTCACCTCGCATCTTTTTCCCGATGGTGCCAGCGTATGGGTTTCACACTGGAGCAGTTCTACGAACGGCCCTCCAGGCGAAATCGTATTCAAGCGTTTGGGAACCCAATGTTCGTACGCAGTGTAGGGCGTGGACCCATGCAGCTACCAAGTCCTCGGACATGTATGGGCAACTCGTGGCGCCACCTCCTACGCGGAAATAGCAGGTACAGTGGAGGCCCATGCTGAGAAAAACCTTGCTTGCCTCCAGGGTGCCCTGGGTTTCTTGGGTTTCGATGGTTTTGCCATGGAAGGCGCGACGCTTCCGCACCAAAAATCGATGGACGTCCTGGGGTCTCAGGGTTGGGTTTATTGTGGAAGGTTTCTTGTGGACTGGCCTCCACGTGGGCGAAATCGTACACACGCGTTTGAGGAGCCAATGTTCGTAATGAATTCAGGGCATGCCCCTGTGCAGCTACCAAGCCCACGGACACTCAGAGGCGCAACTGGTGGGGCCGCCACCTGGGTGGGAAACCATCAGGTACGACAGAAGTGTGCAGCTTTCGGAGTACCGCGGATGAGCCCCTGTATGTGGGACCGAGCGTAACAGAGTTTTGAGGGAGCCTATCGTTGAGAGGTACTTTGGGGCATGGCCACTCGCAGGTGCCAGAAAACCCAGCACCCAGGGGCGAGCCAGGGCGGGGCCGCTTGCAACTCTCAGCGCGTGCGCCTCTTAGAAGCAATTGCCACGGCGGGACCCTAGTGCTGAGGCCTTCTGCAAGTATGGGCAAACCAGACATTCAGAGGCAATTGCGATCGAAACTTTATGGGCGGGTAACACGTGCGAATGCGAGAGAATACAATAGTCAGAGGCGTTCGAGGGTGCCACCTTCTGGGCTGGGTCCTGCGCAGCTATTGGGAAGATCTTGCGCTCAGAGGCATTGAAGAATGGCCCCTGTGCAACTTTCAGAACAACCAGCTCTCTCATGGCCAACTTACCACGGGACCGCATTGGCAGGACCCCAAGCAGATGGCCAGACAATCCACCAGAGCCCCCTGCAGAGACCAACATCTATTGGTGGGACTTATGGCTATATCAATACAGTCCAGCACTCCAAGTCAACAGAGGGCCAGTCAGATCTGATGGGCGGGATGCGTTGCAACAGCTTCAGCATCCACGAGTCAAGAGACAAGTCAGTGCGGGACCGTCTTGGCGGGACTTTGTGTAAGAGTTTGATGGATCAGCTTTCAGAGCCGATTGAGGCGGGACCTTGTATTCAGAGGCAAGATCCGGGATCTAACGGGCTGGAGCTGTATGTACCCAGTAGAACATCCAGCGCATTGTCTTCCCCTCCTCCCAGAAAGATAGACTCCCCCTCCTTCCCCCTGGGTTGGAAGTACCCCCTGGGACAGGGCACATTACATATGAGTTTGCCTCATCTTTCTTTTCCAGGTGAGTTCCTACCATCCCAGGCGACTGGGCATCACTCCCCTCACACCTGTAAACAGATGCAACGCGCGCGCACTCGTTTATCTCAACCGACGATGATTCAAGATCCACACGCGACATTTCGCACGAAGTCCACGCACGCTCATGCGCCGATACCATGCCAACGCGCACTAGTTCTGCAAGCAGTGCAGCATGCACACACATCACATCTCGTGTGTGGTCCATCGCACGTCTTGCAAGCACTCTGCCCGCGCACAGCTGCTGAAACCGTCGGGAACCATGCAGTGCTTGCAATCTCGCCCAGGATCCGCATTCTGAGTTCACCACGCCGTGCATCCGCGTTGATCCGGCATGCGCCCAAATGCGCCCATCCGTATCGAGGAGCACCGTGCGGGCTACAGTCCGCACGCCGCCGCTCGTGCGCGCCGGCACCCCGCGAACGGCGCACTGCAAGATCGAGGCCTTCAGACACATTTGGGAAACCACACGTTTTTCAATTTAGAGTCTGACAGGTGTCTCGCATTTCTGCGCACGCACTTCCTCACCGTCACCCTCGTCAGCACTGCCGCACCACCGCCTTTGTCTTCATCGCATCTCGCCGCCATTGCCGCCATCACCAGTCACTCACCTCCATCACTGACACATGGAATCCACATCGTCATCGTCTTCACCAGCATCATCGTTGCCGTCACCACCACCATCGCTACTATCATCATCGTTGCCGCCGTTGTCGACGTCATCATTATTCCGCGCCCGCCCAAGTCACCGACCCGCAGTGGACCGCCCGCCTACCTTCGCGCCCTTTGAGACGCGCGTGGTAAGCGCCATGGTAGCCGCATCGGTTGTGCCAAACCAGCTTGCCGCTCTGCGCGCGGGCTTTCGCGCGCTAGTGCAGCTGCAAAGATGCGCCAAGCAGTGCCAAGTAGCCACCGCAGTCGCCGCCGCATGAGTTGTGCAGAACAAGTTGCGGGTGGGAGGGTGGGGTGATTGCGCGAGCAGTGCGGTTGACGATCTCACTTTTGCAAGTGGACGGCACCAATCGTCTTGCACTACCTAACTCACGCCAGGGAGCCCGCAACACGCTTTCGCAGCGTAGCTGGCGCCGCATAGCTTACACAGCGTAGTTTACACCACATCGCTCACACCTCATAGCTTATCCCGTAGAGCTCACACCACAAATATTGTACAGCTTAGACTGTACAACACAACTTGCCCCACCGAACTGTCACCGCATGCCCCGCACCACACTCCACACCCCGCATTGGTTACACAACACAGCACGGCATAGCTCACGCCACATAGATCACACCGCATAGCTTTCACGTCCACAGTGCAATCACTTCTGTTTGGGCGCAGAGCTGGCGAATCTGATGCTGCGGGCGGGGTGCCATGCAACCGACAGAGATTCAAACATTCACAGGCAGCGGCGGGCGGCACTCTATGGTCGGGATCCAGTTCATGACAGTTCTTCCTACAGGCGGGACCTAAGGCGATTAGTTGAGTAACCAGGGTGCGAAGACAATCGATGGTTGGAACGTATTGGGTGGGGGCATTTGCACGTACGACAGAATTCAGCATTCAATCAAAGGTGTCCTAGAACATCTTGCATACAGAAGTGACTAGAGGCAGGGCGCTATGGGTGGGACCCCTAGCAAGCACTAGTTAGTCGAACGTTTAAGGCCGCGAAGGGCAACTTTCTAGATCGGAATGCATACACGTACTAAGTGGTCGAGTGGTCATGGACAGGTGGAGGCAGGGCTCTTGAGGGCGTGACTTGGTCGGGACCATGAGATATTCCAGCATTCAAAACAGTCTAGGCGGAACCCGACGGGTGGAACAGCAGAACACAATTGCCAGACAATCGAGAATTGAAGGACAGATGTTTGCAAACCTGGAAAGAAGCCGTTGGTGCAACGAGGGATTACAGGATATTGTCCCAACCACGTGATTATTTCATGTCGGCGCATGATTTCGGGAACGTTGATATTGGGGTCTGTCCAAGCGCCGGACACATATGCTGTGAGGCAGCTCTGCCACCTCGAGGACGGCATTCGCTTTCGAACAGGCCGCGTCTCCCGGTCCCGTTTTGCGCCCAGCGGTCGCTACAGTGTAGTTCCCGCCCAGCAGGCCATCGCCAGGGACGCTCACTTGGACGAGCTCATGGCGAACCCCTCGGAGCCTGGCTGCTGGATGCGGATGCCGTCTGGGTGCCCGAAGCATCCGATGAACACACACAGATGGAGGCACGACACGTGGGCGGAGCAGCAGGATCCAATACAGTCGGGGCCCTGAAGAAGGAACCCTTTTGGTTGGGGAGGGGCTCCGCGTTCCTTAAGTGTTGCGCAGCTTGCCTCAGGTTTTCCTTATGCTTTCGATAGGACATCGAAGTTTAACTTATGGGAAAGAGGGGCCTCGTTCCTTACTCAGGGTTCCTGAGGTCGAGGCCCCGACTGTACACAAGCTCGCCCCCGCCGTTTCATCCCGACGCGCCGCCTCCCCTCCTGCCTCTTTCCCCGCCCCCTCCAGGGGAGCTGTTGGGATGCCGGGAGGCGTCGCCGGATCACCTCACCGATCCTGGCCGGGCCCGTCCCCAGCCCAGGCTCGGCGCACGCGCCCAGCCTGGCTCGGCTGGGGAGGCACGCGCAGCGATCCTCAGGCTCAGGACGGGCCAGGCCAGGATCGGTGAGGCGGTCAGTCGACGCCTCCCTCTCCCGAAAAACGAATTATCAGGGCAGCGGGTTGAATGCCTTCATTGGCTGCTGCTCCGCGCAGGATCTCGATGAGGGGTCGTGCAAGGAGCGCAAGCAGACGTGGGACAGATACTGCGGGAGCGACGATGCAAAAGTTTTCTTCTTCCCGAAGCAGTGAGCGCACAGTCTGGCTTTCACATTTTGCGAGAGGGTCTCACGCTGGAGGCTTTCTTTTGTACGAAGCTACAGACAGCCAGGGCTGGCGCGCCGTTTCGTAGCAGCATGCGGCTTTTTGGGCCTGCGTGCCGTTTGATGGATAAACGGTCTCGATCGTCATGGACGAACCTCATGGATGTCGCATTGCACGCGGGTGCTTCCATTTGCGCCCTGTGACGTCGCGGCTGCACGATGCTCTTGGTGGATGCACGATCACGATGCGTCTGGCCAGATCGTGATCGCCGCCGTCTACAGCGCAGTCGTCGTCAGGCGCACCACCGCTGGGTACCTCTGCTGGGGTGCGCTAGCAGGCGTTCCGCTATGGAGGATGGGAGTGCGCGTGGTGGCGGCCGGTTCTTGTGCAAGACGCCGTGGTGTGCCTTTGTGGGCCCCGGAAACGGCAGGGCCGTTTTTTCACCGTTTCCGAGAAAGTGTCCCTTGAAAATGGAAACGGCAAAAAAGCGGCGACCCGAAACGGCAAAAAAACGGCTCCAGGATTGGAATCGGAGCCGGAACCGGTCCAAAAACGGCGACGGAACAGGTAACAAAACGGGGTCGGAATTGGCAAGAAAACGGCAAAACGGAACCGGTAAAAAAACGGCCCTGTCGTTTCCAGGGCCCACTTGTGCACTGCCTGCCCAGCTCCAGTCCCCGCCGAGACGGCCGCAGGCGGCCCCGATACGGAGCGAAGAGTTGCCCGACAGGGGCGGCCTCGCATGGGTCGACTAGACGTAAGAGTGACCTTTCGCCGGAGTGACCTTTGGTGCGGGCACAGATGGGTCGCCAGCTGGCGGAGAACGAAGCAGGAGCAGCGGCCTGCGCGCCCAGTTTTGGTCCCCACGCGGCCCCCCAAAAGGCGCGCACCAAAGGTCACTCTCACCCAGGGTCACTCTTGCGTGTAGCCGAATGGGGCCAACAAATTATTTCATGGCCTTTCAGATCGGGGGTGGACAGAACCCCCACCCTGACACAGCGATGAGTGGACTGTCTTGTTTTCGGTTCTCGAGAGGGCGCCGCGGCCGTCATTTTCTTGGCTTGCACCCGCCAGGTTTGGGCCCGAGGTCGTTTGCACCAAACCACGTTTTACTAGAGGGGGTTCTGTCCATCCCCGATCAGAGTTGCCCAACGCCTGCCGCAGAGGGCTCCCCTCTCCCCACTCAAGGAGGGGCCGCGGGGGTCCCACAGCGGCCGACGACGGAGCGAAGGCGGCGCCAGCGCGCGCATCGCGTTTCGGGGACGAGCGCCGTGTGGGCAGCATCTGCCAACCCCCGGAATGAAAAGTCCGGACCTCAGAAGTCGAGGGAGAAGCATCTTGCGGTTCCCGTTGTGCCGATGGGGCCCCAGTACAATGCTGCAGAGCCCAGTTTGGCGCATCCATCTTCTCCAGTGCTCTACTCATCGACAGGGCGGAAAAAGGACCGGAGTGTCCACGTCCGGCCGTTTCTCTTCCCCCGAGAAATTGTCCGGTCACCAGTCCAGGCAACCCGACGGTTTCAGAGGGAACAGGATTGTGGCGATTTCTCCGAGGACTTCCTCCAACAAAACCTATCAGGCCCTTCGTGGCGATTTCGCTTGGGACTTCCTCAGAACAGTGTTTCTGGACCCTTTGCATGCCGCCCGAGAGTGCCAAGTTCGCCTGGGATATCCTCACAACCATGCTTCTTGCCGCCACGTCATGTCGCCAGAGAGCGTGCATGTGCCACGAGATTTCTCAACAACCACGTTTCTGGCCCCATGCCATGCCGCCAGTACGCGACGATTTCGGTTGAGACTTCCTCACGGTCACCTTTCTTGCCCTGCGCCATCCCGACAGACAGCGGCGATTGCGCGTGAGAGTTTCTTTGCCACGCGTCTTCAGGTCATCCTGGGACACCTGCATGTGAGGTCGCATTGCGAACATGGGATGACATGAGCCCTCTCCGAACGTCGAGACGCCGCGCCCCATTCGCGCGTGCACGGGCGCGACTGGCTTCCTCTTCTTCTTGCTCTTCCATTTCTTCCGTCTCAAATGCCACGTGTCTCGCACTGTACGCTGCCCAGACATGCCTACTCCAGATGCCGCTGCCTCGCCCAGCCGGTCTCTCGGCTTGGCCCAGGCGGCCGCCCGCAGCGGCGGTCGTTCCTCCGGCTCTCGGGGCCACCGCGGAGCCACCCTCGGGCCGCCGCGAGATCGGGCTCGGGCCGCGCCTTCCTTCTTGCAGGGCCTCGAGGTCCTCTGGAGGTCACGCTGGGGCCGCGAGGGTCCTCTGGTGGCCTTCTTGGGGTCGTCTTGAGGTCGCGCTGGGGTCTATTGGGGGGGACAGGGCCGAGGGCCCAGGACCGAGCGTGGATCTACGAGCCAGGAGCCGAGGTGGACGGATCGACGACCCAAGGTCGCACGAGACTCGAGGTTCCAGGGCCCAGGTTGCAGGGCGAAGGTCGAGGATCGAGAGGAGCGAGGGAGGATCGAATGTCCAAGATCTGCGATCCGGGGTCCACTGGCGTCCGAGTGTGTTGCTGGATATGCCGAAGGTGAGGTTCCAGGATCCAGGATCCAGGGTCGATCGGCGATCGAACATCCAGGGTCGACCTGAAATCGAGGAGCCAGGATCCAGGATTCATCAAGGCTCCAGGGTCGTTCCAAAGATCGAGGATCTGGGGCTGCTCGGGGGCATCCGCCTGGTGCCGTTCTAATTTTTGGCCGTAGCCGTCCCGAGACGGAATGGGGGCCTCCCTCACCAGTCCCTGCAGTCGCTTCTCTTCAGTGAGGGAAGCGCCCACTTCAAGTAGGAGCGCCACGTGGGCTTCTTATTCAGGCGACAGTCCCTTATGAACGAGTGAACCCGGCGCGATCCCAATTAGGGGAACACCTATTGCATGGGCGCATCGCTGGGTGCATCGTCGGGCGCATCGCTGGGCGCATCGCCTGGCATTGCTTGGCATTGCTTGGCGTTGCTTGGTATTGCTTGGTACTGCTTGTCTTTGCTTGGCATTGCTTGGCGTTGCTTGGCATTGCTTGGAACCTGGGTGGAGCCCGAGAGACCCGGGGGACCCGAGGAACCTGAGGAACCCAAGGAACCCGAGGATCGCGGGGAACCCGAGGAACCCAAGGAGCTCGAAGAACCCGAGGAACCCGAGGAAGGTCCAGGGAACGGGCAAAGTTTGGCCCCGAGACACCAATCCCTATCCAAGTAAGAGCCTTTTACGCAAGCAAGCCTAACTGGGGGAATACAGAAGCATTGAAGAATAGCTCGGCGACAGACCCAAATTATATGCAGTTGTGAGTAACGCAGCTGTGAATCTTGTCTTCGGTGGAGCTTCTTATGTGGCCACGAAGCGTGTGAGGAACGTACCGACATGGGCGCGGTTAGCGCATGCGAGCTCAGCCAGAGGGGTGTTCGGTGGAGTTCCCCATGGGGGCGCGAAGCGTGTGAGGAATATGCCGACCTGGTTGCGGCGGGCCCATGCGAAACCCGGCACTGGGTCCTTCGGTGGAGCTCCCTATGGGGTCGCGAAACTTGTGAGGGGTGTGCCGAAGTGGGCGGGGCGGATGTAGCCACTGGAGCCTTCGATGGCGCTCCCTATGGGCCCACGGAACGTGTGAGTGATGAGCCGAGAATGATTGGGGCGGACGCATGCGAACGCAGCCATTGGGGCCTTCGGTTGCGCTCCCTGCGGCCACGAAGCGTGTGAGAGGTGTGCCGAAATTGGCGAGGCGGGAGCATGCGAACGCAGCACTTGGGGCTTCGGTTGCGTTCACCATGGGGCCACGAAGCGTGCGATGGGTGTGCCAGAATGGGTGCGGCGAGCGCATGCGAACGCAGCCACTGGGGCTTCGGTGGCGTTCACCATGGGGCCACGAAGCGTGTCATGGATGTGCCGAAATGTGTGCGGCGGGCGCATGCGAGCGTTCAGTGGAGCTCCCTATGGGGCCACGAAGGGTGCGAGGGGTGTGCCGACATGAGTGCGGCGGGCGTATGTGAGCACAGCCTATGAGGCTCTCGGTGGAGCTCCGTTTGGGGCACCGAAGCGTGCGAGGGGTTTATCGATATTTTTGACTGGTGCGGAGGGCAGAGGCAGGAAGGGGAGGAGACGCGGGGCGCTGTCTGTTCAAAACGAAGACCCAACACCACAGGATGATTGAAGAAGGCGTCCAAGTCTTTCGCTTGTCGCCGCTCGAACTCCCTCTCGCCCTTCCTCCTCCTCCTCCTCCTCCTCCTCCTCCGCGGCCGCCGCTGCCTCGGCCCACGCGGCGTGCGAGAGGGAGGTCGCCGCCGCCAGCCCGGCGGGCCCCCCCAGCATGGCGGGCGAGCTCGGCCCCGTCTCCATCCTGGGGCCGTTCGAGGGCATACGCCTGGTGCACATCGCTGATTTCGGAGGTCGCCAGGGGGGGCCGCGGGAGGACGGCCCATTCGTCCGCGTCCCCGCTTCTCCACTCAACGGCCAGCAGCAGCAGGGCTTCATGCCGAGTGTCTGCGACGGGGATCCCGCATGGTCGCTTGCTTGCCCCGCAGCCCACAAGCTGCTCCAATCCGCTTCACTGTTTCCCACAGGTCCAGTGGCATGCCCCGTGGCCTCATGGCCTGTCATGGTCTCCTGTGCATGTTGATATGTTGCTTCTGGCTTCCTGTCCCGTGGCCTTCGGCCCCTTTGCCTGTTCGACTACACGTAAGAGTGACCCTTCGCTGGAGTGATTTTTGGTGTGGGTTTATCGGGTCTTAATCGCCGAACGCGAGGCGGCAGTGGCGTCTTGCGCGCCTGCGTTTGCCCCCCCCCCCCCGCGGCCCCCAAAAAGCCGCGCACCAAAAGTCAGTCACTCTTACAGTCGGGGCCCTGAAGAAGGAACCCTTTTCGTTGGGGAGGGGCTCCGCGTTCCTTAAGTGTTTCGCAGCTTGCCTCAGGTTTTCCTTGTGTTTTCGATCGAAAATCGAAGTTTAACTTATGGAAAAAAGGGGCCTCGTTCCTTATTTTGGGCTCCCTAGGTCAAGGCCCCGACTGTACCCGGGTCACTCTTACGCGCAGCCGACCTGTTCGCGGCATTCGGCAAGTTCGTGGCCCACTTTTTCTAGGGTGTCGGAGCCGTGCGCTCCCCCCAGCTGGCAGACTGGGGGGCTCCGTGGCAGCCCACGGGGCCCCGCCGTCGCTCCTGCCTGGCCAATGGGGGGGGGGGGCTCCAGGGTTGGATTCGGCTGCGCATGTCGAGTGGCCTTTCGCCCCCGGTGGCCCCTTTGTTCGGGTCGGGCGAAAGGGGGGGATTGGGAAAGGGAGGGTTACGAAATTTGCTGCATGCAGCTGATTTCGGCCCCGCCGAGGGGCCCATTCCTCGATACATGGGCGCTTCCCGACGCCGGGAGGCGCCGGGAAAATCAGCTACGTGAGCTGATTCTCAAACCCCCCCTTTGCTATCCCCCCCTTTCGCCCGACCCGATTTGTGGCCTTGATCATGGCGGCGGGCCCGAGACGCGGTGCATCTCATACCGTGGACCCGATGCTACGCTTGTCTGTCGAACCGGCGCATTGCACTACAGGGCAGGCTTCTTGCCCTGTGGCCCGCGATGCGTACTCGGCGTGGCGGTGCTGCCAAGGTCGGGCCACGTGACCTGTCGCCCTGTTGTCGGTTTCATGCCCCACCGCCCCCTTGGACTGGACCTCATGTTTCCGGTCGCGTGCTTTGTGGGCCCTGGCCTGTCGTAGGCCTCGCCGGTCGAACCACTGTCTCACCAGCGGTATAGGCCCGTAGCCCTTTTGGCTCAAGTAGTTTTGGCTGATACCTGCAGGGCTGACTTCGGCTCGGCGTGGCCGACAGGGGCCCGCCCGAGCAACCCGCGGCGGCCATGTTCGCCTGCTGCCACGACCCGGCCCCCGCCAAGGTCGAGGAGGCCGCCCCGGCATCCGCGGAGGAGGCGCCCAAGGAGGAGGAGGAGCAGGCCACGACCGCCTCGGACCCCGAGGAGGCGCCCGCGGCCGCCGCGGCCGAGGAGCCCGCGCCAGAGGAGCAGGCGGCCGCGCCCGTCGCGGCGGCCGCGCCCGTCGCCACGCCCGCGCAGCACGCCCTCGTCGTCCGGGTTGTTCAGGCGTGGGGCCTCGGCAACGACGACGAGACGCGACAGCCGTACGTGCGGGTCCGGCTCCTCGATGCCCGCGGCGAGGAGAAGCAGGTGAAGGAGACCGCGCCCATCACAGACGGCGGCGCGAATCCACACTGGAACGAGTACCTCAAGTTCGAGGGCATCGAGGATCCGGCTCTGTGCTCGGTGTGCCTCGAGCTCCGCGACAAGAGCGACACGAAGGACGAGCCCGCCGACGGCATCGCGACGACCAAGCTCGGGGTCCTCGAGGCCGTGTCTGGCTTCCAGCAGTTCAGGGACACCATCTCGGCCGGCTGGTTCTCCAACGTCGACCTCAGGTTCGGCATGAACAACTTCGGGACTTGGGGCAACGGTGCTCGGGCGTCGAACAAACTGTCGCTCAACATCATGGGCGCTAGCGGAATGGAAGACACGGACACTGGCATGGGAGGCCTCTTCGCGGACAAGAACGACCCGTACGTCTACATCGAGTTGGTCGACGAAGACGACGACGTCATCGGGGAACCCCAGAAGACCAAGGTCATCGATGAGGGCGGCCAGCAGGCCGACTGGAACGAGACCTTCGAGTTCGGAGACCTCCTGCTCCCCTCGGCCTACAAGCTCAGGCTCTCCGTCTGGGACCGGGACACGCTGAAGCGCGACGACGCCCTCGGCAAGACGGAGTTCGCTCTGGGCCGGTGCCTGCGCGTGGCCGAGCCGATGCAGTTCGAGGAGGCGCTGGACGTCGGCGGCGCGAGGCTGAAGTTCCGCGTCGGCACCGGCGGCGCCTGGGGCGCCCTCGCCGCGGAGGCGCTGGCGGAGCAGCCCGCCGCGGAGTGGGCCGGGCCGCCGGCCCCGCCCCCGGGGCACTGCATGAGGTGCCGCGTCGTGGGCGCCACGGGGCTCGCCTCGGGGAGCAAGGGGGGCGGCGGAGAGGCCGACCCCGTCTGCAGGCTCACCCTGAGGGACGAGTGGGGGAGGACGCTGAAGACCGTGACGACCAGGGGGAGGCAGGCCAGGGCCAAGGCCAGGGCGAGGCCGGAGGCCAGGGCCGGGGCCAAGGCTGGGGCCAAGGCCGCCGCGGGGGGCCCGACGCCGGACGTGGAGTGGGACGAGGTGTTCACGTTCGTGGGCGTCTCGAATCCATGCCTGTGCACCCTCTCGGTCAACGTCCTGGACGCAGGGGGCGACTGTAGCAAGCGTCTTGGCGAGACCACTCTGCCCCTTGGGATGCTCGCCGCCAAGCCTGGCCTGCAAGACTTCGAACCGCACATCGCCGGGTACTTCTGGTCGTCGGAGGTGAAGCTGCAGATCGACAACATGGGCACGTGGGGCAACGGCATGCCGGAGGAGAACAAGCTCCACATGATGATCCGGGGTGCCACCGGCCTCCCGACCCGCGTGGGCACGCTCGTCAGGAGCAAGCCCGACCCCTACATCTACGTGGACCTGAAGGGTCCCGACGGGGCCGTGCTGCAGTCGAAGCAGACGGAGCCCAAGACTGACGCAGGCCCCGACCCCCAGTGGGACGAGGAGCTCGTCTTCGAGAACATTCCGAACCCAGCGGCCTGCTCACTGTACATCACCTGTTGGGACAGGAACGGCGCCTCCAAGGACCAGCTGCTGGGCCACACCGAGGTGCCCTGCGGCGTGCTGGGCTGCTCCTCGGAGTACACCGCGTTCGACGGCACGACGCTGGGAGGCACCTGTAAGCTCAACTTCTCCATGCACACTGGCGGCACGTGGGGCAACAAGGAGCCGGGGCCGGTGCCCGAGGAGGTGGCGGCTGGGGGCGAGAAGGCGTGCTGCTCGCTGATGTGAGGTGCCGTGCCCTGGCCTGTGCCTCTCGTCGGCTCCTCCTCCGCTCTGCCCGACGTGCAGCGGCAGCGGCAACGGCCGGCAGGCCGGCTCTTCCCCTTTCTCCCGCCCTTCAGCCCGTCAGCTTTCTTCTTACTCCAGGCACCGAGTCGGCCTCGTACAGTCAAAAAGCCTAATAAGGACGCGCGACTGTGCTCAGGGTACCCTTGCGTCCTTGCTCCTCCTTGCTCTTGCGTCTTTGAGGTTTTCGTCGTCCGCCGCCCCAAAAATCCCAACTTCGGCTTCCAAGGGTCTTGCGTCCTTACCGCGCGTCCTTATTAGGGTTTTTGATTGTAGGGTCGTCACCAGGCGCAGTGTTTTAGCGTGCAATGTCCCCTTCACATGGGAGGAGGCGGTCGCGCGGCGGTCCTGCCTGTCTCGAGCCGAATTCCGCTGCATGACTTCAGAGCTCTGGAGAAGGGCGCCGAAGCGCGCCCCAACCTTCGCAAAGACGGCTGGTTGACCCTTTGTCGTTGTGCCATGTGCTGGCACGGACGACTTTTCTTTGGATTGTTTTGTTCTACAGGATGGCGTAGGCATGGCCGATTCGCTCAGCGTCTGTTCGGCCCAACCATTTCGGCAGCCAATGCGCCCTTCTGAGGAGACCAGACGAGGATAACAAAAGCAACACGATCTGACTGCAGGGCCATACATGTTAGGTTTTCGGTTGCTGGCTTCGTGGCCCCGTCGATTTCGTCTGCTGAGTTGCATGTGCGCCCGCATTTGGCAAGTTGGTACTCGATGTTAGGTGGCCCCTCGGCCTCTTGGATGTTGTCTGCATCATTTTATTGAGGTCCCCGACGTCTGGTTTGGTGCCCCGTCGCTGGTGGTGTTATGGCTGGTAGCCTCTCGTGGTCTTGCTGATTTGAGGAGATGATGATACATGTTGTATGCAGGCTTGGGGCTCCGTGACCCTGTTGCGCATGGCATCTCGGCTTTTGTCGATTTGCGTCGTTACATGAAACATGCTGCGGCTCACGTTGTTGTATCTACGTTTTGTGGTCGTCGTTGCCTCCCCCTCGGCCTCGTCTTCCTCCTCTTCTCCGTAGTTGTTTAATCGCTTCGCTCATTCCGCCGGCCCATATTGTAGCATCGCTGGCACTTGTTTGCGTGCTTGGGGGGACATTTGGGGGGCCTCCTGGGGCCGCTTGGGGGCCTCTTGGGGGCCTCCCGAGGGCCTCGTGGGGGCATCTTAGGGCCTATTGGGGGCCTCTAGGCTCTAGGGGCCTCTTGGGAGCTTTTCGAGGGCCTCTTGGGCGCTCCTGGGGGACTCTCGGGGCCGAGGGCTCGAAATACCCGTGCGGGTCTCCCGTCTGGACCCCCTCTTGGAGCCGTCTTGGGGGCCCCTTGGACTGTCTTGGAGGCCTCTTGGGTCGTCTTGGGGCCGTCTGGGGCGGTTCTGGGCCCTCTTGGGGGCCTCTTGGGCCGTCTTGGGGCGATCTTGGGGGCCTCTTGGGCCGCTTTGGACGCTGTGAAAGCTCAAGTGGCGAATCTGCTACGAATATACGTTTTGCCAAGGAATGGGACGATGATTTCCTTGTGAGGCCCTCTTAGGACGCCTCTTGGGGGCCTGCTGGGGCGTCTGGGAGCCATCTTGGGCGTCTTGGAGCGAGCGTGTGGCATCTCGGAGCACCCTTGAACCATCTTGGGGGGCTCTTGTCGGCCTCGCGGTCCTTGGGGCTCTCTGGAGAGCCTCGAGGGCGGCGCCCAGAGGGGGGGGGGAGGGGGGATGGCTTCTTAGAAGCACACCTGCTTCTTAGAAGGCGCGGGCCTGATCTGTAGATATAAGGTCGGCGCCTTCTAAGAAGCAGCCCCCTAAAAAGCCCTCCCCCCTCCCTCCACCCCCTTGTGCGCGCCGCCATTGTATGTGTGTGTGTGCTCGTGAGTGTGCGCCTGCCTGCGAGCGCTTGTGCCTGCTTCTTGTGTGTGTGTGTGTGCGCGTGCGCGTTCGGGCAGTTTTTGTAGCCCACTCTACGGCTCTCGCCGTGGTGTGACGTCACTCGGCCAATGGCGCAAGAAGCCTGTGAATACTGCTGGTGCCTGCTTCTGTGTGTGCGTGTGCACACGCGTGTGGAGTCGGTAGCCCCTTGTTGGCAGCAAGCGAGCGGCACCATCTTGGTCTCATTTGGCATCGCTTGGGCGTGTACATTTTTACCCGACGAGGGCCATCGAGGAGTGTCCTGGACCACCTTGCGAAAAGTAAGCGCGCGAAGCCGACCAGTGGATAGGGGAATGGACGTCCGAGCGATGGCAAGCAAGACCCGTGCCCCCCGTCGCCCCTGGAGCACGCCAGCGAGCCCCGAGCGACGTCGAGGGGCTGGGCCTCGCTCGGCCGTGTGCTTCTGCTTCGGCGAGGCCAGCTCCAGAACACCTGCACCGTCCTGGAGCATCCTGGACCCTCCTGGGGAAAGACACGCGCGAAACCAAGCAGTGCCCCGGGGAAGGGGCGTCCGAGCGATGGCAGGGGGGGGGATGATTAGGCTCAGGCTGGGATGCGTCGGCCTCCGCTCGCCCACCCCGCCCAGGGAGCGTGCGATCTCGCTATCGGGGGCCTGTCGCTGATCCGTCGGCGACGGATCAGCGACCGTAGCGCCCCCGTAGTGGAACGGGGATCCGTCCGTCGGCAGGCCATCGGGGGCCTGTCGCTTATCCGTGCTGCAAGAGTTCCACGGGGCCAGCTGCGCGGAAGAAGTTAAAAGCAAGGCGACCAACCCTAATGCAAGGACTGCTGGAAGATGAAGGGTGCGACGTTGCGTCGGCGGAGCGCTCGAGCCACCGAGGGGAGCGTTAGAACACGTAGAGCGCAGAGAGGGTGTGACTTCATGAAACCAGGGCAAGAAGGGCCGCAGCAAAAAGAACTCGCGCTCACGATTTGGCGGTGCGCCGTTTCGGCTCGACGTGAATTCGGCGTCGCAGGAGTATCTTGGCACGCGTCTCGGGAACGTCTTGGAAGCCTGTGGGGCCTCTTGGGGGCGTGTTGGGGGCCTCTTGGGAGCTTTTTGGAGGCCTCTTGGAGCTCCTTGGCGGCGTCTTGGGGGCCCCTGGAGCCTCTTCGGACGCTCGCGGGGGCGAGAGGAGGGGTGATCGATTGCGGCTCCCCCCTCGGAAACCACGATCCTCGTGAGGGTTGTCGAAAAATTGCCTTCCTTTGGAGCTTTCTGGGGGACCTGGCCGGGGATCGCCCGGGGATCCGCCGGGGATCGGCCGGGGTACTTTTCGTCCGGGGACCCCCAGGGGCCGCCACGCGCGCGCGAAATAGATGATTGCTGAACAGTTGCCGGAGATCTTAGCACGCCTCTGGCCCGTTTGGCCGGCGAATTTTGACTCAAGTCCTGAATTACAACTCATCGCCCCCTTGAATGTCCTCGAAGGGCGCCTCGGCGGAGCTGCTGCCATGGTCCAGACACACACGTCGGACAGCGAGTCCTCCTGCTCGTCGACGTTGCAGCTCGCTTCCGAGGTGGAGAGGACGCTCCGGTTGCCTCCCTGCGCAGGCCGATCCAGCTGACCACGGCAGCCTGGCCTGCCGTCGGGTGGATGCTGTCCTTGGGCACGGAGAGGCTCTCCGCCGCGTCTGATGCCGGGGGCGTGACCGCCGTCCTGTACTGGCAGGCCCAGGGTCATCCCGACCGTGTCACGGTTGACTTGTGCCCCGTACCGGCGGCTTATCGTGCCGCTCTGCGTGCTGGTGGGGAACGTGGAGGATTGCCGGCGTGGGCGTGATGGACTGCTTGACCAGTATGCTGACCAGTAAGCCGGCCAAGCGATGCGCCCCCCTACTCGCCTAACGTCGGTGGCCCCCCCCCTGGATAAGGATTTTTCTGACGAGGTCGCGGGGCCCGCCCCGCGGTCGCGCTGCGCGGCCTTCCTGCGGGAAACGGAACGGAGACGGGATACCAAGGGAGGCATGCTCTCAAGGGCCCTCGCGAAGTCGGTCGCCGCCACAGCGGGGGGGCTCTCAGGAGATCTTCCGCAGGAGGTACCCACCCAGGTGAGGGCGATGCGCAGGCCCCTTCCATTGTGAAAGCCTTTTCCCCTCCTCCTCCTCCTCCTCCTCCTCCTCCTCCTCCTCCTCCTCCTCCTCCCTCCTCCTTCTCCTCCCACTCCTCCTTATCCCCCCACTTCTCTTCCCCTCCTTCTCCTCCCCCCTTCTCCTCTCCCTCCTCCTCCCGCTCCCCCCCCTCCTCTCCTTCTCCTTCTCCTCCTCCTCCTCCTCCTTCTCCTCCTGCCTTTCCTCTCCGTAGCCATTTTGGCTCAAGTAAACCATTTGTCGAGGCAGCTGGCCAGGTCAGCCGCGGGCCCGCCCTCGGCCGCCCAACACCGCAGGGCCGTCGGCGGGCCTGCTTTTACTCCGACACACACAGCCCGTGTACTAGCGCCGTTCTGCGCTAACACGGGCAGCGGCAGCAGACAAGGACGACAATTCTTCCTCTCGCCTCGCGATGTCGGCCCAGGATGCTCCAGTGGGCAGGGCGTGTGGCCATCAGGCCTCTGGCGGCGGCGGCGGCGGCAGGCAGGCCAGCAGCTCCTCGCCTGACACCGTGGGCAGCAGGAGCACCTCCCGCAGCGAGCATCGCCGACGCGGTGAACGCCGTCGGGATCGACGCCAGCAGGCCGCCGCCAGTGAGGAGGCCGCGCCACGTCCTCGTCGCCAGCGCGACGCCCGCCTATCTGGCTGGGATGTGGTGCCCCCTGCCTCGCCACACGACGCCCAGGGAAGACGCACTGGCGGACCCGCTGAAGGAGGAGCCGCCGCTGGCCCCCTGCGCGGCATGGAGCTTTCCGAGGGCGACGCCGCGGCGCTCGAGCTCATGCCGACCTTCCCGTCGCAGCCGCCCCCGCAGCACGGCGAGCAGGACGCCTGGGCGGCAGCGGCCGCGCAGCGATTCGGCCCGCCGCCAGCGGCAGGGGGAGCTCCTGCCGCCGCCTCTGGTGCGGCGACCCTCTCCAGCATGCTGGCCAACATGGAGCGCCGCCTCGGCTCGCAGATCCAGTCGACTACCAACAACCTCTCGCAGATCTTCCAGTCGACCCAGCAGGAGTTCGCCCAGGCCGTCGACGCCCGTTTCGCCGCCGTGGACTCGCGCCTGGGCAACATGGAGCAGCGGATGGCAGACTTCGGCCGCCTTCGTCAGGAGATGGACGACTTCCGCGCAGAGATGGGCGTCGTGGCGTCGGCCACCCCGCAGGCCCCGCTGCTGGAGACGGGCTGGTCTAGGCCCATCGACCCCGCCATCCTGTCCATCGTGGCGCGCGCGAACGTCCCGAAAGAGGCGGTCGCACAGGCGCTGCAGCAGCTCCTGGTGGACGCCGACCTGCACAACCTCACCCTTGAGGCGACAAGGCTGGAGGGCGAGGAGATGGGGAGGCACTTCAAGCTCCGCTGCGTGGGAGCCGTGGGACTGGCCACGCGGCGCGTGGGGAAGCTCGTGGGCCTCCTGCGCACAGGCCCCTCCGCGTGGCGGGAGTTCGCCGCCGCGCTGCCGAACGGCCCGAGCGTCCCCCTCAGCGTGGGCCGCGACCGCAACCAGTCCCAGATCTCCCACGAGATCTACCTCAAGCGCATCAAGGCCGCCCTTCAGGAGACGATCGAGGCGCGGCTCTTCGCCGACAAGGAGGCCAACGCCATCACGGTCAAGTGGCGCCAGCTGCTCAAGCTCTCCATCGCGTCCCCAGGTGCCACGCCGACGGTATCGTGGAACATGGTGGCTGTGCGTGCGATCGGCCAGACGCAGGAGGCCCTGCAGGCGGTGGTGGATCGCGCCTTGGAGCCCGAGGCGCAGCAGTGGGCGCTTTGACACTCTCTCGCGCGCCTGGGGAGGCGACGGTGATGGTGTGCATCTGGGGACCTGGAACTGCAGGGCTCTAAAGAAGTCTGGGAAGAATGCCACCAAGAAGATCAATAAGAAACTTGCATCTATTCAGCGATATTGGAAGGGGCCAATGCTGCTGGCGCTGCAGGAGACGCATGCTTCCGAGTACAGCATGCAGGTGCTTCTGGAGCGATTGAGTAAACCGTTCTGCTGCTTCTCCTCGTGCGTGCCAGGAGGCCGAGAAGACGCAGGAGGGGTGGCCACGGTGGTGCCCGCCACTGCTGACGGCTACGCCTGCGATTTTGTTCCTGAGGAGGTGGTCCCTGGTCGCATCCTCAGGCTCAGCGGTGAAGTTCGACCTTCGACTCAGGGGAGTCAGCCGTGCAACTTCGTCCACTGGAACATCCACAACCACGACATTTCACCTGATCAACGGCGGCGTGTTGCAGAACGCCTTCGGCAAGACCTGGCTTGGGCGCGCCAGTGCCCCGCCACCCGCTCCACCTTCGTCGTGGGCGACTTCAGCTTCGGCGACTGCGACGAGATCGACAGCTTCCTGGATGCCGACCAGCCCCTGCAGGCGCAGGCCACGCGGCCCAGCCGCGGTGGAGGCGGACGCGCCCAGGCGGCAGCCGCAGCTGGCCAGACCGCGCGTCTGGCCCGCCACCCTGGCCAGCGGCAATGGCTGGATGCGCTGCGGGCAGCCGCGGAGATGACGCCTGGCAAGCCGACGCACTGGAACGCCAGCACGCGCACCAGCTCCTCCATCGACCGCGTGTTCGTGGGGACCCCGCGGTGGCAGCTCTGCCAAGGCTGGCAGGCGTGCCAAGTGCGAGGCGAGGCGCGCGAGATGCACATCCGCGGGATCAGCGATCACTCCATGGTCGCGGTCTCGCTGCTGCGGCGTACGCCTGGGCGCCGACGCCCTGACACGCCAGCGGCCATCCCCCTCGCCGTGGTCTAGCGCCTGCGCTTCAAGGAGATTGTCGACGGGTACCTGGCGATGGTCCCCATGCAGCACCAAGAGCCGCCCGACGAGTACAAGTACTTCGCGCGGATCCTGCAGGCGGCGGCCAAGGATGTCCAGAACGAGTTCCTCGTTGCCGAGGGTTGGACCAAGGGCGCCTCCGCCATCATCCGGCGCCAGCTGGCGAGGGCTTTCTGGCGCCAAGACTGGAGGCTGGCGCAGCTGGTGTGGCACAGAACGCCTGGGCGCGCGAGCTGGTCAGGGCCTCGGAGCAGACTCGCTCGGTCGAGATCCTCGACTACGCGGAGTTCCAGAGGAGATGCAACATCGCCCAGCGGAAGGACGCTGCGGGCAGACGCCGCGTCCTTGAGGAGGCGGCCCAGCATGAGCCTGAAGAAAGCCGTCGGCGCCAGCTCGTGGCCCAGCAGCGGGCTCTGAAGCGACGGGCGCGGCTCTGGGCTCCCTTCAACGCTCGGCGCTACCTCGCGCGCCTCGAGACAGATGGTGCCGAGTTGACCGAGGCCTCCGACATCGTCGCAGCGCTGGGCCAGCACTGGGGCAAGGTGTTCTGCCCGCCGACGCCAGCCGCGCTCACCGAACAGAGGGCCCGAGAGCAGCCGGCCTACCTGAAGCGCTTCTGGGTTCCCGCGGTCGACTGGGACGCCTACTGCCCGCCCGCAGCGGCGACGGTGCGAGAGGCGCTCCGCCGTGCGCGCCCGGCGGCCCCTGGCCCAGACGGCCTCCCCGCTGCGGCCTGGGCTGTGGCCTCTGGCGGCGCAGAGGCTCTCCACCGTTCCTTGGTGTGGATGCTGGATGGCTTGCCCATGCGCTCGGACTACAACCACGCGATCAGCATCTTCCTGCCGAAGGGCTCGCTGGTGACCGACATGGTGAGCGCGTCGCGGGCCCCTGGCTGCACGCGCCCGCTGTCGCTGCGCAGCGCGGGGGCCAAGGCGATCAGCGCGGCCCTGAACCACCCTCTGAAGCGGGCCGTGCAAGCGGCAGTGGCGCCCAGCCAGCGTGGCTTCATCTGTGAGCGTCATTTTCTCGAAAACCAAATTGAGCTCGACAGTCACGCGAGAATGGCAAGCATGCGTGCTCTGAATCATCCCTCCTCTGACCTCGCCTCTGCTTCTTGCCTATGACTATGCACATGCCTTCCCATCTGTGGCCCACTCGTGGCTCTGGGCCGTCCTGTCCCATTGGGGAGCCCCAGAGGCCCTGGTGAATGCAATCCGAGCCAACTATCTTATGGCTGCTGCCGTTAGCTCCGACTGCTCTCGGGGCCTCCTCTTCCTCATCCTCCTGGGGGTCCTCCAGGGTGATCCTCTTTCTGGCAGTCTTTTCGCCCTAGCTGCTCATCCGTTCTGCGCGGATATGGAGCGCACCCTAGAGGCCGCCGGCAAAGGAGTCGGGAGGTGGTGCGCGGACGACGCGGGGGCGGCTGCGTGGGGAAAGCCCGGCCTCAGGGTGCTCGCTAGGATTTTCAAGAACTCCGATAAGTTGGCGGGGCTCGCTTTTAAACCCTCGAAATGCTGTGCCACCCCTCTTTGGGCCCCGTGGTCTGATGATCTCATTGCCCCGACGTCCGAGCTGCTGGCCTCCGCGCGTGCATCCTGGGCTGAGTTCAAGGTCGGCCCGACGCTCGAGTACCTCGGCTGCGTTGTAGGCCCCGCTGCTGAGAGCGAAGAGCAGTGGGCAGCACCTGCGGGGAAGCTTGAGCACCGCGTCGCCGCCCTGTCGCGTTCCCATGCTGACACTGCTGCCGTCGTCTCGCTCTACCACGAGCGCGCGCTTAGCGTGCTCTCATACAAGTCGGCTTAGCGTGCTCTCATACAAGTCGCAGTTATATGAGATCCCTCGGTTCCTCCAGCGGCGTGAGAAAGATCTGTTGACTCGCGTGTTTCGGGCCCCTGGATCCTGGCTCTCTGCCTCCTGCTTCCTCGACCTCGACTCCCTCGGTGGTCCGCGGGCCCAGGGTATCCGAAGCAACGCTCCCGCCGCCAGGATGAGGACAGCCCTGTCGTTTAAAGAGTGTTGGTCCAGGATGTGCGGCCTCCTAGAAGCCGCTGCGTGGGAGCGCGCCCAGGTTGGCCACCTGCACTGGCGCGGCCCCCGCGGGGCCCAGGAGCTTTGCCACTGGCCGCCCTTCTGGCGGGGGCCGGCGGTTGCGTGGCCTCTGCGGGGGGCGGCGGAAGCTAGGCCGTCTCTGGGGCGGGACCGTCGGGCGGCCCCAGAGGGGCTGGCGGCCCTCGTGGCCGAGCGTCGTGCTGCGCGGGAACGCTCCGCACCGCAGAGGGTGGAGCGATCTGGCGCTGCTGGCAGAGGCGTCCCAAGATTCAAAGTGCAGCGCGCTCTCTTGAGAGGTATCCGTCCTGCGATTTACCTGTCTCCCCCTCGTGCCCCTTCCTCCCCTCCTCGGTCTCTCATCGCCTGCCTGCGTCTCCGTCTCGTCAAGTGGTTCTCGATCCCTCTCGAGACCTCGGCGGCTTTCGATTGGGCTGCCATTAATTCGATGCTCGCCTCGGCCCCCCCCTCTTGGAGGATGGCCGCCATCCGTGCCTGGACAGGGGGGTGGGTCACAGACACCAGACTAAGGAATGCCGACCGAGGCTGCCTGCTCGGGTGCGAATGCGCCCGAGATAGCCTTTCTCACTACATCGATTGCCGCCGATTTCTCTGGAATGTTGCTATGGTCTCCCGTCTCAACCTTCCTGCTTCTCTCTCTGACCGTCTTGCTCTTTCTGAATGCTCGCTGGTGCGTCTGCGTCAGATTGTCATTCTTTATCATTTCCACCGCCTGCTGCACGCGCGAAGGCGAGCTCCTGGCTCGACCGCGCCCGACCCGCCCTCCTCACCTCGCATCGCCCGCGCAGCTCGCCTCGCCACCGACTTGCCGATGGGCGAGTGGAGGCGCTCGAGCGGGCAGCGGCAGAGGGGCCAAGGGTAGCTTGACCAAGGGACCTCTGGGGACGCTCCGCCTCCTCCCTTTCCTCCTCCGCCTCATCCTCCTCTTTTCTCATCCTCCTCCAGCGCGCCCCAGAAGCCTCGCCGCCAGCGTGATCTTGGTCAGTGCAGTCTTCTTCAGCTTTGCGGACTACTCTGTCTGTGATGATTTTGACGCGTGCGACGTGGTGTTCCCTCTCGGCGATGCGCAGGGATGTCTGGATGTCCCTGAGCTCCGCGCGTCATCGCCCAGGCGTATTGCACGTCTGTCGTTACATTAATCACCGCTTGGTCTGGCGATAATGTTCCCAGTAACTGGTTGGGTCGGCTCTTTGTCACCGTCTGGATGATGTTTGGAGTCGCTCCAATGGGCGCTTATCTCGGTCATATCGCGATGGTGGTGATTCCGAATTACGTGAAAAGTTCAGTTTCGACTGGCATGAGTGGAGAGACTTTCTGGATTATCGATGCTGACAACAGCGGCGCTCGTACAACGTACGAGTATATAGTATCCATGTTGCTGAACTTCAATACGTATAGGTGACGAGAACGACGCGCAAGAGTTGATCGACGGGTTCAATGAAATGGACCGGAACCAGCATGGGAGTTATGGCGCACCAGCACCATTACCACCTGTATTAGTACCGCCACTGGCACCAGGCGCTGGCAGCCGTTGGGGCACCCTCTTCTTTTGAGGGGGGCGCGGGGGAGGTGCACGCACGGCGGCCAGCGATTCAGCTTCGGACCTCGGCAGTCTTGAGCATCCCGTCCTCGACACGCGTCCCCGTCGACGTCGCGCGGATTCCTTCATGGTGTGTTGTCGCTGCTGGTGCGCTGTCTCCCTCATGAGTGGCATGGCTGAGCCGTCATGGCTTCAGGCTCTCCGCGTCATAGAGATCGTTGTTGCAACCAGGCCCTTCACTTTTGTTGTCGGCTTACTTCTGCCTTCTGCCTTCTCCATCCTCCGTGAGTCCTCGTTGCTCCTGCGCGTGCTCCGCCAGCCGGTGTGATGTTGCATGCATTCTATTTCAAAGCATTGCTCTCTGGCATGGGGTGTGGCTCTATATTTACAAGCTCGTGATGCACGCGCCGTTTTCCTCCTCCTCTCCCTTGTACCCTAGTCAACCATTGCACGCTAAGGTGCGCAAGCCATGCAACACGGTGGAAGCAAATCAAACAAAACAGAACGGTGGCCCCCAATATTCCCAATATTTAGTTTCGAGGCCAGCGGCCCGCGATGAAGCCAGCGGCCGTTGCCAGATTCAGAGCGCCCCTCCCCGAGCACCGACTGATACATCGGCCCAGACACACTTCGCCTCGCCAGCATACGAACGCACAGGCGACCGATGCACTGGTGCTCCTCCTCCGAGTGGCCAGTCTGGTCACTCTGGTCTGCCTGTCAGGTCTCTCTGGCCCGCCTCCTCTGCGTGATGCCTCTGGCCTGCCTGCTGGCCCCTCTGGTTCGCCTGCCCGGCGCGCCCGCTCGGGCCGCCCGGCCTGTCCCGCCCGCCTGCCCTTCGTTGCCCTGCCCGCCTCTCTGGCCTGCCCGTGCAGCCTGCACGGTATGGTCGCCTGGTCCCGTCGGCCCGGTCCGCCTGCTTGGTCGCGTCGGGCCCTCCCGGAGGAGGAGGTGGAGGAGGAGGAGGAGGAGGAGGAGGAGGACCTGTGTAAACCCAAGGGTCACCAAGGATGTTGTGATGAGCTCTTTTCCCAAGCTCCCTCTTCATATGCCCCATACAGCGGTTCGCTTCCACAGGGGGGCCTGCCTCGTTGGAAGACAGCCGTTGGAAGACCCTGAGGAATGCCAGAACATGGTCCTCGGGATTCCAACGCCACGGATAGGCCTGACTGTTGCGTCTTGACGATCCTGAACCGTGCCAGAACGCCATTCCTGGGACTTCAACATTGCGAATCATCGTAGTTGCGCCCTCATACTCGGGAAGCCTTCCAAAACACAATATCTCGTACGTCGATCATGGGAATCTGTAAAACTCTTGCAGCTTTCAACAAGAATGTGCGCGGCGCTCAGGCCAGAGCCACATTTTGCGAAGGAACCGCCCTCAATCCGTGAAACTTGTGCCAATTTGGAAAACAAACGTGCGCGGAGCTAAGACGAGAGCCACATTTTGAAAACCAGCCGCCCGCAATCCGTGAGACTCTTACACATTTTGAAAACGAATGCGCGCGGCGCTAAGGCGAGAGCCACATTTTGAAAACCACCCGGCCTCCATCTGTGAAACCGCTGTCAAGTTGTAAGTTTCAGGGTCATAGGTGGTGAGGAAGTCTCAGGCGAAACGCCCGGCCTGCCCTACCACGCTTCTTTATAAGGAGAAGGAATGGAGAAGGAGGAGGAGGAGGAGAAGGAGGAGGAGGAGGAGGAAGAGGAGTAGGAGGAGGAGGAGGAGGAGGAGGAGGAGGCGGAGGAGGCGGAGGCGGCGGCGGAGGCGGAGGAGGAGGAGGAGGAGGAGGAAGAGGAGGTAGAGGAGGAGGGGGAGAGAGGAGGAGGGGGAGGAGAAGGAAGGGAGGAACAGCAAGTTAGGTGCGCTCGCGTCAACATCTGACATCCTACCCCTCCCTCCAATCCCTTACCATGGCGCTGATTTTCTCTATCCGCGGACGCGTGTCGTAGCGGACCTGTGGCTCCGCGCGCGTGTGCGTAGTGGGTGGTGGTGCGCGTGCGTGCGTGCGTGTGTGGTGCGTGGTGTGGTTTTGTGGTGGTGGTGTGAATGTGCGTGTGTGTGTGGTGTGTGTGTGTGTGTGTGTGGTGTGTGCGTGTGTGTGTGTGTGTGTGTGTGTGTGTGTGCGTGTGCGTGTGTGCGTGTGTGCGCGTGTGCAGTGGTGTGACGTGGTGTGGCGTCTGGTGGTGGTGGGCCAGGTGCGTACGTGCGTGATGTGGTGCGGTGCGTGTGTGTGTGCGCGTGCGATGTGGTGTGACGCGGTGTAAGTGCGGTGGTGGTGGCGGTGCGCGGTGAAGTGGCGGTGGGTGTGCGTGCGGCGGGGCGGGGCGTGGTGCGGCGCGGTGGTGGCGGGCGGATGGGCGCGCGAGAAAGAGGCCCGCGCTGGGGCGAGAACGCCATCCTGAACGACGGAGGCAAAACACCCATCCGAAAATGAGGCCCACGCTGCAGCGGGAGCACGATTCGGAACGATTCGGGAGCAGAAATGAGGCCGGCGCCTCAGCGAGAGCAGCATTGTAAAAAAAATCGCAGGCGAAAACCCAAATCCCGGGAATCCTGTGTGCAAAAAAACAGTACGCGGGGGGGGGGTCGAGTATTCCCTGGACGCCATCAGGGGAAGAGGGAGAGTAGTATTCATATTGAGTAATTGTGAAGGGGGGGGAGAAGGGGGAGGGGGAGGAGGGGGAGAAGAAGGAGGAGGAGGAGGAGGAGGAGGAGGAGGGAGGAGGGAGGAGGAGAAGGAGGAGGAGCAGGATGAGGAGGAGGAGGATGCGATCTTCTTGATCCCGAGCGCGCGCGTCGGGCGAAGAGCAGCCGTTGCCGCTGGGCAGGCCCATCCTGCCATCCTGGGCCACTCACGCGGAGTGCCCCCCCCTGGCCAGTGCAAGGAGGGCGCATAGATCGCTCCACGGCAACGACGGAGAGAGCGAGGACGAGGACGAGGACGACAACGACGACGACAACGACGACGCTGCCGACGACGACGACGACGGCAATGCCGACGAAAACGACGACGGCGATGACGACGACGACGCCGCCGCCGACGCTGACGCCGACGCCGACGCCGACGCCGACGCCATCGCCGACGTCGACGTCGACGACGACGACGACGACACTCCGTGCCTTGGCCAGTGGTGCGCATACACCGCTCCGGGGCCCAGGAGGGGCCTGGCCAGGGGCAGTAGATGCGCGTGCACATATATAATTCCAACTGTATTCAGAGGGATGTATATGTATACATATATATAGGATCTGTATACTATTATATGTTTAGGTATGTATTTATGTATATAAATATGTGTGTGTCTACATATGTATATATATATATATATGTCTATATCTATGTTTGTCGATCTCGTCGCCCGATGCGCGAGGTCCCGGGAACGACAGCCTGTCGCTGGCTGCGGTGGACGTGTTCTCCGCCGGGCCCGCCGCCGCCGCCGCCGCGCTGCGGGCCGCGCTGGGCACGCTGCCGCCGCGGGCCCCGCGCGGCCTCCAGCTGGGGTGCCTGCCGCTGGAGCCGCCGGGGGGGCCGAAGGCTTCGGCCGCCCGCACGGTATCGCAGCGCGATCGCGTCGTCGTCCCGCTGTCGTCTGAGCTGGGCAAGATGCTCCCCAGACGGGGGCGAGGCAGTACTACTGATGATGCTGATGATGGTTGTGCTGCTGCTACTGATGATGATGGTGCTGATGACACTGGTGATGAGGGCGATGATGATGATGCTGATGCTGATGCTGATGATGATGATCTGGAGGAGGAGGAGGAGGAGGAGGAGGAGGAGGAGGAGGATATGATGATGAGGACGAGGATGATGAGGATGATTAGCAAGGAAGAGGAAGGTGGTCGCGCTTCGCGTGGCGCTCGGCGTGAGGGCAGCTGGCCTGGAGAAATCACAGAACATCAGGCAGTCCAGCGGCAGCTCAGGGAGCGGCTGGGGCTCAGGCGGTTTGGGAGGAGGGGGAAGATGCCAGGCCAGGTGCCCTCGCGGCACATCTGTCATCGTGCGCCCTGGGTGGACGCCATCTGATCACCTCGTCGATCCTGGTCAGGCCAATGCTCGGCCTAGGGCCCAGTGTCAGAGTACACGCATCCTTGCAATCGTTGACGCTTAAATCATGATGTCGCCCCTTGCGAGCGCATCAGTGGAATAGCAGGCAGATGTTTTGCCTCCGGTTCGGTGGTCACTCTCGAGAGTGTGAGGCCCTTTGTTTTGATATTGTAATGGCCTCCGGCCAGTGCCGCCGATCCGGGGCGCTCCGGATGATGATGATGATGATGATGATGATGATGATGATGATGATGATGATGATGATGATGATGATGATGATGATGATGATGATGATGATGATGATGATGATGATGATGATGATGATGATGATGATGATGATGCTGATGATGATGATGATGATGATGATGATGATGATGATGCTGATGATGATGGTGGTGATGATGATGATGATGATGATGATGCTGATGATGATGATGATGGTGGTGGTGGTGATGATGATGACGATGACGATGATGATTATGATGATTATGATGATGATGATGATGATGATGATGATGATGATGATGATGATGATGAGATGATGATGATGATGATGATGATGTGATGTGACGATGGTGATGGTGACGGTGATGGAGATGGTGATGATCCCGGCCCCCCCATCCCATCCCCCCTCCTCTCTCCTGTCCCCCTCCCCCCCTCTCTCCTGTCCCCCCCCCTCTCTCTTTTCCCCCCCCCTTTCTCCTGTACCCCCCCACCCCTCTCTCCTGTCCCCCCCCCCCTCTCTCCTGTCCCCCCCCATCTCTCCTGTCCCCCCCCCTCTCTCCTGTCCCCCCCCCCCCTCTCTCCTGTCCCCCCCCCCTTGCAGCAGAGCGCCCATCTGCAAAGCGGACCCTCCCGCCTTTCCCTGCAGCTCCCGCTCCCGCCTGAGAGGGCCCCCCCCCCTTTGCAGCCCCCCCTTGCAGGCCCTTTTCCCCTTGCAGAGCCCCCCCCCCCCCCCCTTTCCTGCCCTCACCCTTGCAGAGCAAACTCCGGGGGGGGGGGGGGGGGAGGGCGAAATCGAGGGGGGGGGCTGGCAGGGGGGGGGGTAGGTGCCGAGCACAGAACTCGTCAGTTAAGGACGTCCCCCCCCCCCTCCCCCCCTCCCAAGCAGAGCTAGAGCTCATGCTGAAGCAGAGCTTCAGCTTATACTTCTCAAACTCACACGGCGGACCGGCGGATTTCGAACAGTTTGTCGTCTTCGTCCGTGGGCTGTCTACGCTGTTCGCCGCATAAATCCTTCTCGTCTGTTGTAGCCGGCCAGGGCAGGTTCGTGATATCAAATGCTGTCGCGCGCGGCCACCACGATCAGGGCGCGAGGGGGTGTTTTTTTGAGTGGGTTCTCATCCTCTGAAGAGAGAGAGAGAGAGAGAGAGAGAGAGAGAGTCGAATTGGGGGTTCACGCCCGTGCTTAAGTCGACCCAGGAATGCCAGATCGAGGCGCAGGCCGCCGTGGAGGAGGCGTTGCCGGGCCTCGCCTTCATGTGCCAGCTAGGCCCGGATATTTGCGGTTTGCGCAATCGGAGCGTTGATTGTGGTATGCTTTCTTCGGGCGCCAAGGTTCTCACGAAGTCAGTGTCGAGCTACAACCTTTTAATCAGCGAGCGTTCGGGGTCCGATGTGTGCTTCTCCTGCCATGCTGAGCCTTCCCACAAGTCCATTGCGCTGTCTTGGGGCCTTCTGGGCCATCTTGTGGTCTGCATCGGTTAAAGCCAGTCTCGGGCTCTCTTTGGGCACTTTCTGGCTCTCTCTGGGTCCTGTTGTCAATGGGCCTCCCTAGGCCATGTTGGACCATCTTGGAGCAACAGCCGAGCACATTACAGACTTCTTCGAGTTAGTCTGCCTCCTTTCCTGCCCGTTCTCGCTGCCGCCGCCGCCTTCGCTGAATGTAGCCGTTGGCCGTCATGCATTATTCCCTACCTAGGCTCTGCCTAGAAGGGTTCTTACTCTCTGGGCTTAATGGGGCCGGGCAGTTGAAAGCGCCCCGGGCGGTTCCCTCAGTATCCGCCCCGCGGTTCCCCCAGCTACGTCCCCTTAACTTAGCGCTGCTTAAGCTTAGCTTGTTTCATCTTAGCTTAGCTTAGCTTCATCTTAGCGCAGGCTTATCTTAGTTTAGCTTACCTTCATCTTAGCTTCGCTGAGCTTTAGCATGGCAGGGCACCTCATAGCATAGCATAGCGCAGCATATCATATCATAGCATAGCCCAGCATCGCATAGCATAGCGCAGCATACCGTAGCATAGCACAGCGCAGCACAGCACAGCATAGCACAGCGCAGCATAGCATAGCATAGCAGCATAGCATAGCATTGCATAGCACAGCGCAGCATAGCATAGTATATCATATCATATCATAGCTTAGCGTAGCACAACGCCGCATGACATAGCATAGCTTAGCATAGCATTGCATAGCATAGCAACTAATGCTGCTTTCCTAGGGGCTCCAACTTCTAGGTAGGGTCGCATTGGGGTAATTGATCCTATTTACTACAGTTGTTTGAACTGCGAGGGGCACAAAGGAGCGCGCGCCTTCCTCTCCTCTAGGGTCGGGCGCACAGTTGCACACCTGCCGTAGCTTCCGCTTGACGGGTTAATCCAGAGAGCCATGTTATGTATGAACAATCCAGTTATTGGGCATTGAGATTTAGGAAACATAGAAGGACAAGACAACATACCATTGAACATGTAATTCGAAGTTCTGGCAAATAACTGGCTACCAGCCAAAATCTTTGGCTCGATTCAAAATATTGCAGGATCGACGCACGGTGCCGATTGAAATGCCCATGGTTCTGGGATGCGACGCGCGGTGCCGATCAGAAAGGGACGTAGCGGGATACGACGCACGGTGCCGATGGGAAGTGCCTATTGTTCACATGCCGAACCACCTCGACCGAGAGCTGTCCGCGCTCATTGACTCCGAGATTAGCTCGCTGAGTCCGGCGTTGAAAGCTGATTCGCGTAACGTGGCAAGCGAGTCTGCCGACTTACTGGGCCTAGTTGCCGACCGTGCTTTGGAACAAGGAGAAAGTGCTGGGCTACCGGGGGGTGGTTCAACCGTTCCTCATGCATTTCAATTGCACTCATTTGCGGAAGTGGCTCTCATGGAAGTCGGCCAGTCGCCAGTTGACATACTAAGCCGTTGGGAGCTCGACTCAGCCGAGCACCCGCGGGATCCAACCGGAGATACGCGATTGTCGAAAAGGCCGAAAGGGCCGAAAAGGCCGGAGGGGCGGCTGACAGCGTGCAAGTATATGATGCATCAAGGCAGTCGTCCGGCTTAGCCGGGGGCAGCGCAGCGGTGTTTGATTGCCCCATAATTCGTGAGGTAGAAGGGATTCAAGCGGACATCTTTGCATTGGCAGGTTCAACCTGTCAAATCCAAAGCGTCGCGAGGGGGAGAATGGAGACGAATATGGTACCTTTCCTATGAGATCTCCAATGTCAGCGAGACACGCCCATCTCGAGTCACCCATGATAGGTGACACAGGTCAAAGAGCAGTAGAGGATGTAGTAGTTTCTCGGGGAATTTATCGATTAGTCTGGTCTCTATGATGGCGTCTTGTTGGGCCCAGGGACCCAGTTGGTCAATGGCGGCGGAGAGCCTGTGCCTGGGGAATGCAGGTAAGCAGAACGGCGCAAGGCCGTAGGCCGGAGTGTGGAACGTGCTCCTCCACCTGCAAACATTGCAACTCTATTGAGTTTTGTAGGGGCTATGGTCACGCGCCAGAGCATGGTTTCCAGCATCTCTAGATTAGGGCACGACAACAGAAGGAATTGGAAAAAGGCCGCTGCGAAAGAAACGCTTCTCAGTGAGCAGATGGCTGCTCATATGAAACAACAGGTGGCCATGTTCGAGCGATTTCAGAATGCCAATCGAGGTCAGCGGGCGGCCTTAGGGGCAATTGGCGTGTCTTTGCAGGACGCTGGGGCTGAAGAAAAGAAGATTGAGGAGGGAGCGAGATCGGCCATCATGGAAGAGGAAAGGGTGCCCGCTGAGCAAATGGCTCATAAGGAACGTCAGATGCAGCAAAACATCGAACGGGCCAGACTGGCTGCGTCACTTTCGAGCAGAAGGCGGTGGCAGTTCCCCTGCAAAAAACGGTTCAGGCTGCCAGTGTTGGACAGCAGGGGAAGGAGAGAGCAAGCGCCGCAATCCAGCTGGCATCTCTCAGGGGGCAGGCCGCCGCCGATGAAGCTCAGGAAATCCACGAAGACAAGACATGGTCAGGCTAGAACGCGCGCGCAACAATCTTGAAGGTATCCAATCGGAACTCGCTCAAGAGCGGATGGACAGGCAAGGGGCGCCGACCGCGCTTCCGGTTCAACCCGAGACTTCGGGCGGCATCATGTGGCCGCCTAAAATCCAGGAGCTCCTTGTCGAATAGACACTGGGGCCTGGCCTTCGGCGTCCTTCTCCGGGCGGCCCCGCCGCTGCCCCAGCTCAGTCAGTCGGCAGCGGGGAAGGGGTGGCCACGGAGAATGTTGAGCGCCCACAGTTGCTGCAGGCATCAGAGGGGAAGGGTCTGTCTTCCGCTGGGCGCATGCAACTCCTGCGCGTTGCCCGCGCGGGGGCAATGCGACCGGCGTCGGGCGCCGCGCTGCAGCGCCCGCGTAGACGCCGGCGCCGAGAAATTCATGTTTTTTGCCGGGAAGCAGGCCGATGCGGAAGCTGAAACGGAACCGTCGGGGGAGGAGGCGCGGGGGGCTTTTCGCCGGCTAGAGGCGCGCATTCAAAAAACGCCCGCCTTCATCCAGGCGCCAAGTCAGACCCTGAGTCGAATCCGCATGGATAAGGAAGAGCTGGGGGAGATGAAGGAAGCACTTGATCAGAGAACGCCAGAGCTCATCATTTCGGCGTTGCACCGAAAAGAGGCCATGGAGTCGGTATCCCCTGCGACCTTGGGAGGCGCGCTGGACGGGGCCCCCCCGTGCCCCACGGCGGCGCCATTCTCGCAACTGCCAGCGAGTGCACCTGGCCCTCTGGAAGTAAAAGCTTCCGGGGGGCACCCTGCGCCTCAGCCGCCCCCCTTGCGCGCCCGATTTAGACGGGCGCGGCGGGGGAGGTGGCGGAGGCGGCCCTAATGGCGAGGATGATTGGGGCAAAGATAATTAGCTCTTCCTCCCGATCGGGTGACGGGCCTCCCCACAAAGGCGGGGGCGGGGGAGATGCCCCTGCGCTGCCGCCTGGCCCGCTTGTTCATCGGCGGCAGGTTGGTCGGGCAACGGCGGTGGGCTTCGGGCGTGGAATATGCATGTCGCGCGCGCGACATATTCGGCGTCGCCGGACGTTTCAAAGGCTCAGTCTCGGATCGTGGAACCCTTGGGCCCCTCTGTGCCAGTCGCGAAGCTACAAGATTCAGGTCGCTTCGTTCGACTCGACGTGCTCACCGCATCCGATTTGATGGGGGGATTCAACCCGATGCGTCAGAGAAAGGGCCTGTTCGCGCGGCAGATCCATCTTGTTGCCCCAATGGACGGGGTGGAACAGGACGCCCAGGGCGAAAGTCGATTATTTGCGGGTCGTGGGATGATTCGGCCAATGCGCGTTTGGGCATCGATCCGCTCAGAGCACGGACAGCAGTGCATTTGACGGGGCCTATCTCAAGATCGAGACCGATAGGAACCAGCCAGATCAGGATCTGTTGCTTCCCAACGAATGGAGGGCTGTGCATCGCGACATGCATGGGGGCAAGTCGCCATCCCCTGAAATGGCCGCTACCATCCACAAGCATGTATACGAACGCATGGAGCATGGGCCCATGCAGCGATTGCCTAGCATGGCGCGGCTGGATAGAAGGTCGGATATGGGGCTCGCACCTGCGACTGGCTGATCGGCCGCTCGGAGGAACTAATGGATCGTGGGCGCGAGGATTGAAACTTCGACTCCTGGGCTGCGGCGCTGAATCAGCGCTGGCGATGGGGGCGCGAGACGGCGGGCGGAGCTGTGCTTGGGGCCGCCTTGGATTTGTTTCCGCTGGGGAAGCCTGAGGACAGCGCCCGAGATGGGCGCGAAGAAAAAAGCGACGCATATGCGGCCCAGGGGAGAACCTGTCCTCGCCGAGACACTGGATGCAGCCGCGAGAAGCCCCAGACCGCGCCGGCCCAGGCCGCGCCGGCTCAGCCCGCGCAGGCTTTGGAAAAGGTCGACGCTGCCCCTGACAATAAACCCACATCTGCGCTCTGAAAGGTTCATCGCCGTGCGAGTCGGGAAGTTCGCTCGTGCCCTGGAGATCGGTGGAAGTTCCCTGGTAAGTTCTGGACAGAAATGACGTTCGTTTCGAGGGCCTCGAGTCTGGCGGCTTCGTCGAGCGCCTCGGAGCCCGATGGTTAGATCCGGCATTTTTTGGTCGAGCTAGGGGTCTCCAAATGAGGGTGAATCCGCCCGCGGTGGCTCAGCCGCTGCGGGGCGCCGAGCTGTCGATTCTGTCGAAGTCGGTTCGATGCGTTTTATCGTCGGTGCTGGGTGCGGTTTCCATTTCATTGCTGAGACGTGCGT